AAACCAAAAACCCTGAGCCCTAAGCCCTAAACCCTACACCCTGAACACTAAGCCCTAAACCCTAAACCCTGAAAGCCTAAACCCTAAACCTTAAACCCAAAGCCCTGAAACCCAAAACCATCGAAGCTCGCAGGAGTGGCAGCAGCTGCTCTCCGCCGCGAGAGCGACGGAGAATCGTGCAGAGAGCAACCGGGCCCGTCGGCTACACAATCATGGGTTTAGGGTTTAGGGTTTAGGGTTTAGGGTTTAGAGTTTAGAGTTTAGAGTTTAGGCTTTAGGGTTTAGGGTTTAGGGTTTAGGGTTTAGTGTTTAGGGTTTAGGGTTTACGGTTTAGGTGCTCAGAGTTTAAGGTTTAGAGTTGAAGGTGTTGGGTCTCGGCTGGGGATTTAGGGCTTGATGCTGCCATTGTCGCTGCTACTTGCAGCTGTCCCTGTCGTTGCCGTCATCATCGTCACCATCGCGTTTATCATCCTTAAGCCTGGAGTCCTTGACCAGTCAGGCAGTTGACCCACCTAAGTGGCTACACCCGCGAAGCGAGAGCCCGACTCAACCGAGACTCTGAATTTCATGTCGCAGCCTTTCGACGGCGTCGAAGCAATGGTAAGCAGGCTGTAGACATGCACAGGATATGCAGCACAACAGACCTGCCTGTACCGGACCATACTGAACTGAAGTGTACTGTTATGTGCTGTACTGTACTGTAGCAGTAGCATACTGTGGCGTACTGTAATGTACCGCAGTGCGCGGTAATGTACTGTCATGTAAACGTGATGTAGTGCAAGGTGCTGCCATGTGACGTAGTGTACTGTGCTGTAGCGGAACGTATCGTGTTGCAATGCGACGTATAAATGCGAGGATGTATATACATGCTTTATGTATGTATGCGTGCAGGTATGTAGGTATGCCTGTATTTTCATATTTGCATGATTACGATGGTTACATATTCTATACAGATATGCACAAGTACGTATATTTATACATATACACACACACACACATATATATATATATATGTAAACACACGAGTGCACCGGTTGCAGCGTGCTGGGCAAGTACTTCAACAAACGTTATGTCCTGACCACTAGCAGCCTTAATCTGTTGCTTGTTGACTGTTGCAGCCCGCAACTTCAACAGGAACCCGCAAGCCCTGAGGCCTAAACCTGAACCGCCAAGACCGATACAGAGGAGGCTTCCTGTTTAGAGGGTTCGGGGCTGCTTAGTTCAGGTGGAAGTGGCAAAGATGAAGGAAAACTACCTCAAGGAGCAGAAGGGGACTGTTCGGGGTTGCTAGAAGGAGTCACTTTTCACAAGGATCTTGGGTCTCGGGTTTAGTGATCAGGATAGGAGGTTTCAACCTAGACCCTAAACCCCTGTTCAGGGTCGTGGGGCTCATCATGGCTCGCCTCATAATCCTACAGCTCCCTTAAGGGTTTAGGGTCTCAGGTTTAAGGAGGGAGATTCACACAACAGCGCCGCAACCCCAGGCTCGAACTACATGGCCTTAAACGCCAATCCTTATAGTAACATATTGCACTTATATTTATGATTATCCTACCAAAATAGCCGACACGAAAGCAAGAGGACGTGAGAGTTTCAAGCTTTGGAACTCTTGGCAGCTTCGGGGCCGGTCACAGGCAGAGTCAGATTCAAAAGCCCGAGAGGCAGACAAGGGGTCCAGGGCGGTAATGATCCAGGAGAACATACGGTAATACCACGACTCTGTGTAGGATTTTCGGGTAGGATAGTACTATATACAAATACAATATACTATGAGGATTGGGGTGTAAGGCCGTTTAGTTCGAGCCTCGGGTTACGGCGCTGATTTTGGGATTTCCCTCCGTAAACCCGACACCCTAAACCCTAAGGTAGCTGTGGTTCTGGATCCCTAGACCCTAAAGCCGAGAAGTAAACGCAAGAATCCTTGGAGGCACGCGCTCCAGACACATAATATCTGCATCCTATAGTCGTAATGGTAATCTACATGTAGGAGGCTGGATGATAGAAATCCTGCATTACCTTAAGGGAGTCTAAACTAAACTATGGGAATTATGGTATATACCTTACTGGGTAATGCAGGATTCGTATCATCAACCGTAAGACCAGAATGTGGCCCCAAAGCCCCGATCCCTGTCCTGGAACTTATTGAACGGGGACGTGGGGTTGTATAGATAGATAGGTAGATAGATAGAGATAGATAAAGATAGATCGTGATAGAGATAAACAGAGATAGATCGATGTGGATGGGGATAGATAGAGACAGATAGAAATAGATAGACGCAGATAGAGACAGATAGAGATAGATAGAGCTAGATATATAGATAAAGATAGATGGGTTGAGACAGGTAGAGATAGTTAGAGATAAATAGAGTTGGATGGAGACAGATCGATTTAGATAGATAGAGACAGATGGAGACAGATAGACAGAGATAGATAGAGACATATAGATAGAGATAGAGATATCGAGATAGATAGACATAGATAGACAGTTAGATATAGACAGGTAGATATGGCTAGCTAGCTAGCTAGGTAGGTAGTTAGTTAGTTAGTTATTTAGTTATTTGAGTTAGCTAGTTGGATAGATGGATAGAAAGATAGATAGATAAATCAATCAAATCATGGCCCCCCGGTTGAGGTCTGGATAAAGGCACGCTGCAAAATCGGGTCTTGCAAGCAATATTTGTAGTAATTAAGGGGCCATAATATCTGCTATACTAGTCTTCAAGGTTCCTTGACATGAGTATACTATAACACAGACTTGTGCTTCACACCCGCGACCCAAAACCCGACGCTCTAGAATCTCGTCGCCCTAAGCCCGCTAATACCAAAGCCGCATGAACAAACCATTGTTCCTCATTAAGGTTCCTGAATGCAAAGCCTTATTCTAGCCATTACAGGCCCCGATTCTAGCAACATGCTCTCTGAGCTTTTAGGGTGTTTTCGGGATTGGTAGGATGTTTTAGAGTAAAACTCTGAACCCCGCAAAGTGTCCGTACTTTTCGGCAGGAGATTGTCCTACTTCGTCAGCAGCTGGGCTTCAAGAAGCGGGCAGAAGAAAGAGGCACCTATTTTTCCTGCTGGGTTTTGTTTCCTGGTTTGAACAGTTTCAGGTTTCGGGTTGCGGGGCTCCGTGAACCCTGAAGCAGAACTTCTCTAAAGCTTAAAACCGACAAGCGAGTGCACCTCCTGGGACGGTTTCTGGGTTTTGCAAGGCTGACTCCTGCTTTAGGTGTGTCGTGACACCTGCCGTAATTTCAACAAGATAGGGCGACGCCATGACGTTTCATTGCTTCTTTCTCGTTCTCTTTGGTTGCTACACCGAGCGCTGTCCCTTCAAAAATGACTGCGCTGTACGCTCTTTTGGGGCGGAGGAGGGGGACCCCAGACAGATCAATTGGCTCCGTTTGAGTTTGCTGTGTTGGTCTCTCCAGATATCAACTTCCCGGGAAATAACAAGAGCAACACACATCGTTGTCATGGTTGTGCTTATTGCGGATCGTGTGCGCTGAAAAAATAAGCCCTGCACCTTAAACCATGTAATCTTACATCCGAAGCCTTAATCGCCAAACCGGACAAACCGGGCTCGGGGTTTAGGGAATCATGGTCCCTTCTTCGATCCCCCAGATAATCACGATTACAATGAGGACAGAAAGAGGAGACAGAGGGACACGCAAACCGAAGCCCCGACGCCACCCCTCAATTCGAAGCGCCAGCGCCCGGCCACAGCGCAGGATCTGGGTAGTTCTCAAAACTAGGGTCCCTTTTTGGGTCCCCAATATCGTAATTTAGAGAACGACCCATCTTCAAAAAACATTCAGCAAGACTACATTCCTAGAGTTTGGTACATGGCGCAGGAGAGGAGTTCATGGTGGAGGAGGTGACTCACTTAACCGTTGCGGATGAAAAGCCGCCCGAGGCGCCTCAGGCTCAAGGTTCAGGGTTCAGGGTTTAGCAGTTTAGTGGTTCTAGTGTTTAGGGTTTAGGGTTGAGGGTTTCAAGGGTTAGGGGTTTAGGGACTAAGGGTTTAGAGTTCTCGGGTTCCGGGTTTAGGGTTTAGGTTTTAAGGTTAATATTTTGGGGTTGAAGGGTTTGCGGGTTAGGAGGTTCGTCAGCTTTAGGTTTGCAGGTCAAGGTTGAGGTCGCAGAGTCTATGGGTTTCGAGGCCTCCTTTAGGGTTTAGGGTTAAAGCACGAGTAGTTTGCAGCCTTGCCCACGGGTGAGCCTAAACCTGAAACCGGTTTAGGAAGCACCTACTGGCTGATGTAATAACTGTAGGTAAGCCTGAATCCTCCAGCTTCCCTTCACGGAAACCAATATGAACCCTCCAACTTGGAGTAGCCCAGAAGTGGCCCATGCCCTTAAGTAAGCCCTACACAAAAGGCGCTTTAAAAGGAAGCCATAAAAAGAACCCTGCAGGCCCTCAGGGTCGCCCATTCAAGCCACATAAACCAGCTCCCTTTACATGAAAACCGCTACAACCCTAAACCCCTAAACCCCTAAACCCTAAACCCTAAACCCTAAACCCTAAACCCTAAACCCTAAACCCTAAACCCTCAAGAAAGTGATAAATAGAAATTGCTTGTTCCTGTTAGCCATCCGGAATTGCCAT